AAGAAAGAAAGAAAGAAAGAAAGAAAGAAAGAAAGAAAGAAAGAAAGGAAAGAAAGAGAAAGAGAGAGAAAGAAAAAAGAGAAAGGAAGGAAGGAAAGAAGTTCAGCATTTATGATAAAATTATTCATATTTAAAATAGAAATAGAAAATTTATTGAGGTACATCTATTGTGAAAACAGTTTTAGGGACTGAGAATTGGCTCAGCAGTGAAGATTTCATGATGTTCTTGCAGAGGACTCCAGTTGAGTGTTCAGTGCCCATGTGGTGGCTCATAACTGTCTATAACTCCAATTACAAGAGACCCACTACCCTCTTCTGGTCTCCACAGGCTTCAGACACATACATAGACAAGTACAAACAGTCAGACACATAAAATATAACATTTTTCTGACAAAAATAGGGCTCAAAATTACTCACAGCAAATTCTACCAGACTTTCAAAGATGATCTCCAATCAATCCTTTTAAATTTTCCAAAAGAAAAGGAAAGAAAGAAAGAAAGAAAAAAGACCAAAGAAACACTCCCAAACTACTCTTACATACCCAAACTAAGTAAAGACACAACAAAAACAAACAAACAAAAAAAACTACAGGCCAGTATACACAATGATTCTATATGTTAAAAATCTCATTAAAATACTTACAGACTTAATATGGGCATATATCCAAAAGATTATATGCCAGGACCAAAATGGCTTTACCTCGAAAAAGCAAGGATGGTTCAACATAACTTTATGTAATAAATTAAATAAACTTAAATATATCATTATCTCAATAGTTACAGAAAAACCTTTAACAATATCTAGCATGCCTTTATGGTAAATGCCTTAGAGAAAGAAGGACTTGAAGAAACATACCTCAGCATAATGAAAGCTATATATGAGAAACTTGCAGCTCACAATATCCTAAATAAAGCAAACTGAAATCAGGAATGAGGCTGTGCTATCAGTTATCCCAATCCCTTTTCAGTATACTGCTCAATGTGCTTCCTGGAGCAGGATTCAAGAAAAGGAAAGTAAAGGGATGCAAGTAAGATAACAAGAAGTAAACTATTATTAAGAGATATCAAAAGTTTCATCAGAAATCTTCTAGAAACAATCAACAATATCAGCAAAGTGTCAGGATAAAGAATCCATTTACAAAAATTAATAGCTTTTCTATATGCGAACAACAAATATACAAAGAAAGAAATTATGGACATACTCACTTTCCCAATAACTCCAAAGAAAAGAAAATATCTCGGAATGTACTTAACCAAGAAGATGAAGGACTTTTAAAATGAAAAGTTTAAATTTCTAAAGAAAGATATTGAGAGTGAGTTGTTGAAGTCTCCCATTATTAATGTGTGGGAATCTACATGTAGTTTAAGTTTTATTGATGTTTCTTTGAGAAAGACACTAGAAAATAGAACAACATCTCATGCTCATGGATTGGTACAATTAATATTGTGAAAATGACTGTACCAAAAGCTATTTGAAAGATTCAATGCAATCTCTATCAAGATTCCATGTCATTCTTTACATTCGCATATGCACGTGCGCACACACACACACACACACACACACACACACACACATACACACACGGGAAACAAACAAACAAAAAACATTTACTAAAATTCATTTGCAACCTTAAAAAGCCCTGGATAACCAATGCAATATTGAGCAAAAAGAACAGTGCTGGAGGGATTAATATTACAGATTAATTATTTATTATTGTAATTAATTATTACAGCACAGAGCCATCTAATAAATCCAACACAGTGCCAGCATAAAAACAGACATGTAGACCAGTGGGACAAAACAGAAGACCCAAACATGAGTACAGTATAAGTAACTATAACCACATAGTATATGACAAAAATGCCAAAATCGCACACTGGAGAAAAAAATAGGTTCAACAAGTGATGCTAGGAAAACTGTATGTCTACGTGTATAAAAATGAAATTAGACCCATGTCTGTGACCTTGCACAAAAACTAACTTCAAGTGGATCAAGGGCCTAAATATGAAACCTGGAACACTGAAAGTGCTAGAAGAAACTGTATGCAGTACCTTATGTGATATGGGTGTAAGAAAGGACTTTCTGAATAGGATTTCATTTACAAGGCCAACATTTGACAAGAGGGGCTTTATAAAGCTAAAGTTTCTTCACTGTTAAGGAAACAATTGAGTGAAGAGGAAGTTCTCAGAATGGGAGAGAATCTTTGCCAGCTACCCAAAGAGGATTAATATCCAGAATATATAGAGAACTCAAAAACTCAGGGTAAAACAAAACAAAAAACAAACAAACGAAAAAACATGACCCATTCAAAAGGTGAGCTATGCAAAAAGCTTACCTGGGTAAGATGCTCAATCATCATTCAGAAGGGCAAACAGGATAGATATCAGAAGTGGGAAAAAACAGGGAACAGGACAGGAGCCTTCCACAGAGGAACTCTAAAAGACTCTACTGATCAGGGTATCAAAGCAGATGCTGATACTCAGCCAAACTTTGGGCAGAGTGCAGGGAATCTTATGAAAGAAGGGGAAAATAGAAAGACCTGGAAAGGACAGGAGCTCTACAAGGAAACCAACAGAACCAAAAAAATCTGGGCCCAGGGGTCTTTGCAGAGACTGATACTCCAATCAAGGACCGTGCATGGATATAACCTAGAACCCCTGCACAGATGTAGCCCATGACAGCTCAGTGTCCAAGTGGGTTCCCTAGTAAGGGGAGCAGGGACTGTCTCTGACATAAACTGAGTGGCTGGCTCCCTGATTAGAGAGCAGCCTTACCAGGCCACAGAAGACAGTGCAGCCACTCCTGATGAGACCTGATAGGTTAGGGTCAGATAGAAGGGGAGGAGGACTCTCCCCTTTCAGTGGAGTGGGGGAAGGGCATGGGAGGAGGTAAGGGAGGGAGGGTAGAAGAAGAGAAGGTGGGACTGGGAGGAGACAAGGGAGTGGGCTACAGCTGGAATCCAAAGTGAATAAATTGTAATAAAAAAGAAAAAAAAGAGGGCTATAGGTCTGAACAAAGAATTCTTATAAGAAGAAATAAAAATGACTAAGAAATATCTCAAAAAAAAAAAAAGTTCATCATCTCCACCAATCAGGGAAATCCAAATTAAAACAACTCTGCAAAGACATCCTAATTATAAGTGTTTCACTTACTTGCTTTTAAACATGGTTCTTTGTGTAAATCCATATTTTTTCAAGGAAACACTGCTCATGATGGTACTTTTCTGCTGGGCCAGGAAATACAAACTTGTCCCAGGCTCTGAGGAAATGTAATTAGGCAGTATATGCTAATCTAGCCCTCATGTTTTAGATGTGGAAACTGGGTAAAATGATGGCTGTTCTGTGAGATTTTAATCTGTTTTTTTTTTTTTTAAATTTTTGTAGGAAAGTTAAAGGGGGGAATATTGATGTACATCCATCAGAAAAAGCTCTCATTGTTCAGTATGAAGTGGAAGCTACCATTCTTGGAGAAATGGGGGATCCCATGTTGGGAGAACGAAAGGAATGCCAAAAAATGTAAGTTTTCTTCATTTGTATACATTTTGAAAATGGGACTTTATATAACCTTTATACAAATGATATTATTTTAATCTTCATAGATAACAAATGGTTATAGCATCCTTCTAGACATACTTCATCTTAGTCAAGGAAGGATTGCATTAAACTATATAAATATGGAATATATTCTACAGGAAGTAAAATTTTTGTAATGTTAACTGAAATTCATCACAAAAGGTACGTTTATATCGGACTTTTTGCTTCATTGACAAATGTCGAGTCTTAGAAAACCCTGTATTCTTACTTTCATAGAACTGCTGGGAGTGGAGTGATGTTAAGGTGTTCCCACGTGAGGCCCAGATCTTGAATTAGCCCTAAAAAACAACCTAGTCCTCTGAAAAATGTTAGTAACGTGGAAGCTCTTCCTGAGATTGCTCTTAGATCTAGTGCCCTACTTACTTTCCTTCTTGGTTTTGAGGGAGTCCCTAGGGAACTGTCCTTTTTTTTTTTTTTTTTTTCACTATTCTGAAGTTTTGCTGATAATTATCTTACCTTCCTTCTATAAGTTTATGGTAATAGAAAAAAGATTTGCTATCGCTTAGTGTTCTCCCTCGATCCTCCTCCAGCTGGATACAACATTGATTTGGTAACTGCTTAGCACTACCGATGCCACGTTCTGTTGGAACTGAGTGTGCTCGGGCTGCCGAGTACACGTGCGATAGAACTGCGTTAAGTGTGTAGCACTGACTCTGTTCCTTACGTGGTCTGGGGATGATTCTTCTCCCCACAAGGATCATTGTTTCCCATGGAGATCTTTTAAGTTGTCATTATAAGATAGCCACATTGGCATCTAAGAGGTGGAGTCCAAGTACTTTGCACATGATTGGCCCCTAGAAGAAAGACTTACTCAGCCTGAATTTCAGTGATGCTATGGAGAGAAGCCCTGGCTTGTTCCTCTTTTTCTTGTCCTCATTGGTTTTCCATTGGGATCAGAAGGGACTTATATTAATGACATTAATGACTCGTACTAAAGATACAGAGTTTTCTAGACCATGTGTGAATGTTCACCCTGTGGGCCAGCTCACTCTTATATTCTTTTCTCAGCTTTGTTTTTTTCTGTTTCTCATTGCTTGCCTGAGAATATGCAACTTGAACACTAATGAAAATCTCTTGAAATTTCATTAGAGGATTTCTTAGAGGAAAGCTGTCTTTAACTTTATAGTTTCATAACCTACACTTCAGGAGAAGAATTTAATTTTTAGTACTAAGGGATACGCTCACTAGCCAAAGGTGTGTCACACTCACTTGCAAAAGGCACGAACCAAAAAACACTACCAAAAGGAAAATGTGTTAAGAGGTTTTGTGAAGAAGAGGAAATCTATGTAGATTAAGGTAAGTATGATATAAGCTGCCATTAAATTGGGGAAGTCAGTAATGGCCTAAATCCACAAGCCTACTATCTCAGCCTCTTATATCACTCAAAGAAATGATATAAGCCATTCTCAACGAAGTTCAACTTTTTGAAGATTTCATTTTGAGAAGCTAATGGTTATGGTGTAGAAATCAACACATGATATTTTGTTAGTTTTTAGTAGACGTTGGGTGCCTAACGAAAAGTACATATGCTGATTAAAAACAGTCAAGTCTGAAAGACTCTGGCTAGAGCCTCTCTAGACGGGGAGACCCCACTTCCCAAGAATCAGCGAGACCAGCCTTCGGATGCAAGCCGCAAGAGGTTTATTTCGATACACGGGTACCCGGGGCGACAAAGCCTTTCGGAAGACCTGCGCGCCCCTCGGTTGGGGTGACGGGTTTTTATAGGGTTAGGGAGCAAGAAGCACATTTACAGAAGCGAGAAGCATAGTTACGGGGATCTGATTGGGGGATTTGAACAAAGCCATAGTTAGGTTACGTATTTGGAGCAGGGAAGGCGGGAAAGCAGATGTGGGCTAAGTCACGTAGCCGGTTTAGAGAAGGCGGGAAAGACTCCCGGCTCTTATCTTAGGTGTCCCGATTGTTTCAGGCGCCCAACCGCAGATACCTTGTGGTTGGACACCTGTCCTGCCCTGCCTCTGACCCTGTATTGCTTGTAAAATAGTGTTGCCAGCATTATGCTAGGGCTTTTTATTTTTCCAAAGTCATTTTCAAAAAAAAGAATCATTTTTTTCTCCAGTTTCCTTTTAATAGAGGTGAGATTTGGGAGACTATGCACTAAAACCAGAATTGTTTGAGTTAATGCAGGTTGAACTGGATTGCTAATACATGTGGTGATAGAAAATAGAAGAGATTTAAAGTCCTGTGTATTTTAAAACAGACGAGAATCAACACACCCATTATAATGGCTAAGGCCCACTGGCAACAGCAGATACTGACAAGAATGTAGTGACAGGAATTCTCAGTCATAGCTTGTAATATAAAATGTATACAATATTATAAAATGCATACATTTTATATTAACCTAACATAGGGTCACATAATATCCAGTAATTGCATTTTTAGATTCTCACTGAAATGTATCAGAAACTTATGTCTACACAAAAGTCTATACATATATATTTATAGAAACTTTATCTAAAATAGCCAACAATTGAAAGCAAGCTAAATATTACGTCATAGTGAATAGATCAACTATAGTACCTTTATATCTTAAAGCATTATCCAAAAATGAAAAGAAATGACAAAAAGGCACAGAGGGGACCTTACATGCATATTGGTAACCAAAAGACATCAATCTGGAAAGTGTACATACTCTACAGTTCCAGCTCTCTGACATAATGGAGGAGGCAAAACCATAAGCATAATGAAGGAGTTAGAGATTCCCATGGTTAGAGGATGGGGCATTTTTAGAGCAATGCAACTTTTTTGTATGACACTATAATGATTGATACATATATTTATAAAAACTCATAGAACACACAGTAGGTGCTAATATGAACTATGGCTCTCAGTTAATAATTAGCTGTATCAGTATTAGTTACTACCTACATTAGGGTTTACTCTTTTTGTATTCTGTGAGTTTTGATAAAATAATAAATACTCCACACAGATACAAGATGTTAACTATAGAAATACACAGTGGAAACTGGAAAAGAGGTGAACATGTAATGTGTACTGTGTGAACACTTTTTCTAGGAAACTAATCTACTCCAAAAGCCTGATAGAAATTAAAAGACATGCTTAGTCAGTTTCCTTTTGTTTTGTTTGGGATAAACTCTCATTGTATAACCTAGGCTAATCTTGAGCTCAGGGTTCTTCCACTTCAGGGTCCCTCCCAAGTGCTGGAATTGAGTTTTCCCATCATGCCCAGCTGTTAATGTAGTTTCTTTTGTGTCTCTTCTGTGTCAGATTTGTTAACACACATTTTCTGGTTTGGTTTTGTTTGTTTGTTTGGGATTTTTTTTTTTTTTTGGTTAAAATTAAACACTAAGATGTCCTTTGGGGGCTATTTCCATGGACCATCCTTGCTATATGTGCATAGGAGGATTTACTTGACAATCCTGATTTTCTGTTTTCATAGTTCTTTCTCATGCCATGAATCCATATAAACAGGACATTCTATTCCTCTGCACCGTCTTAAGACTCCTAGTGACTGTTCTGGGCTCATTTTAAGAGGAAGGAAGGCCAGAGTACCTCAGAGTATATAGCACTTCCTAGCAGGTACCAGGTCTTGGGTTCCAGTCCCAGCACTTCAAGTAAAGAAAAACTAGGAAATCTCATATTTAAGTATAAATTATATAATTTGTAGCAGTATGTATTCATATTCCGTAAGAAGTAAAGACTGTGTTTTATATCAGAAGTACTGCTTCAAAACAGGACTTCTGAATATCATATCCAGAAAGTCTTAAAAGATTTAAGTTGCTTTGAATTTATATAAGCCTGATTATATCTAAATTTTCTTTTAATAAGATTCGATGGTAAGATAGGTATAAACTCTATGTATAATTACAAATTATCTTAAAACAGTATTATTGATCTGTCATGCACTTTTATAATGTCTGAATTGGAAATTCGGATGTGCTTGCAGCATTCGTCTGAAGAGTCTCAATGCTAACACAGACATAACCTCTCTGGCCCGGAAGGTGATTGAAGAATGTAAACTCATTCATCCTTCAAAGCTAAATGAGGTAGAACAGCTTTTGTACTATCTACAAAACCGCCGTGATTCATTGTCAGGAAAAGGTAAGCAGAAGGAGTCTGGAATTTAAAATGCAACACCAAGGGTATGTGACTGTAGTCTTCAAAAATATTATGTGTACTTTGTAAATGTATATGTAATATAGTATATTCTTGTATAAAAATAAAGAGTTATGAAAACTGTATTTATTTTTGGTGGTGAGTGAGTTCTTAGCACAGCTAGGATAAACAGACAGATACATTTGTTTCCTACATTGGAGGTTTTATGCTTCTACATGCACTGGTCAGACTTTATTTCACTGTATGTGCATATGTACACATTAGCTGAAATAAGGGGATAAGTTTGTCATAATGATTGTAGGCCAATAAAAGGCACATTTAGGGCAGGAAATATCTTCTCTGTTCTATAGTTAGAACAGCCTTATAGTTTCTCAATTTACTATTTATACACAATTTATAATTTGAGTGAACTTTTTTTATATACCTATATTTATTTTTATTTTTATTATTAGCTACATTTTATTAACTCTGTATCCCAGCTGTATCCCATTCCCTCATTCCCTCCCAATCCCACCCTCCTTCCCTCATCTCCTCCCTGCCCCTTTCAAAGTCCACTGATAGGGGAGGACCTCCTCCCCTTTCATCTGACCCTGTTTTATCAGGTATCTTCAGGACTGACTGCAAAATCCTCCTCTGTGGCCTAGCAGGGCTGTGCCTCCCTTGGGGGGTGGGGAGGTCAAAGAGCCCACCATTGAGTTCAGAACCTGGAAACAACCCAGATGTCCATCAACAGAAGAATGAGTACAGAAATTGTGATATTTTTACACAGTGGAATACTACTCAGCAAAAACGAGGAAATCATGAAATTTGCAGGCAAATGGTGGGATCTAGAAAAGATCATTCTGAGTGAGGTATCCCAGAAGGAGAAAGACACACATGATATATACTCACTTATTTAGACTTACAAGATATGATAAACATAATGAAATCTATACACCTAAAGAAGATAAACAAGAGAGAAGGCCCGGGGTAAGATTATCAGTCCTCACTTAAAAGACAAATGGGGTGGGCATTGAATGTAGGGAAAAACAAGTAACAGGACAGGAGCCTACCACAGAGGGCCTCTGAAAGACTCTAGTTAGAAGTGTATCAAAGCAGATACTGAGACTCATAGCCAAACCTTCAGCAGAGGGCAGGGAATCATATGAAAGAAGGGGGAGTTATTATGAGCTGGAGAGGACAGGAGCTCCACAGGGACCAAATATATCTGGGCACAGGGATCTTATATGAGACTGTTTCTCCAACCAAGAACCATGTATGGATATAACCTGGAACCTCGAGGCTCAAATGTAGTCCGTGGTAGCTCAGTAACCAAGTGGGTTTCCCTAGTAAGAGGAACAGAGACTATTTTTTACTTCAGTGAACTTTTTAAGTGTTTCAAATGTTAATATACATATGATACATATCTCATGCTTTAGATGATTCTAGGATATTACTCTCATGAATTTTTCCTAGAAAAGTATGATTTTTTTTCCTGTCTTCAATTCCCTTATAAAAGAACTGTACCATTAATGTTTTAGAACTCAGAAAATGAAGATATTTTCAAATAAAAATGAAAACACTGTGTGAATGGATTAGCGAATGTTTAGTGATTAGAATACACTCTATGAAAAAAAGAAATGTGAAAAATATCCATTATACATGGATAAATTAATTCAAGTCAATATTATTCTTTCTGTACACTAGTAGTTGAAGATATATGTTTTACTGTCTCTTAAAACTATGCTTATCTAAATTATTTATGGTTTTTTTTGTAACTTTTTATACCTTGATAATTTAAAGCCAGAATCCTCATCCTAATGAGATGGAAAGAGAACTGTAGTACATTATAACACTGTGATCCATCACCTTAAGTGATTTCTTTTTCTTTGCTTATCAAAACTACTCTTACAATAAATTATCTGTATGAGACAGAATTTAGCTGGTGGTGATGTGTCCTTGCCTCTCATACTGCTCCTGAAAGTAGTAAGGGCTAATTACTCTTCAGTTCACTCTTTGTTTATGTCTCCTTGGGAGAACAGCCTTCCTAACATTTTTATTGTCAAGAGCATGTTTCTCATTTCCCATCAGTCATACCACATCACAGTATTTCTTTTTATTAGCATGTACTAATTGCATGTATTAATTGTATAAAGCTGTGGTTTGCATTATGACAGTTTGATACATGAATGTAGAACCCATATTTATCTCTAGCCTCCTTTCATAACTCTTTGCCAATTCCCTTCTTGCCAAGTAGTCTTCAGTATAAGTTAGGTCTCTTTTATGTTTATTTATTTTCTAATTACACATTCTTCTGATACATTTATATTTGATTTAATGCATTGTTTCTTTTTAGAATATGAGAATGTGTTTTAAACTGAATAGTATAGTAAGGGGCCCAAAATTGTGTGTAATAACTTTGAATGCCTCCTTGGGTATAAATGAAGATTAAGTTGATGTAAATATCAAATATTTACCTTTTAATTTATGCCCTTTATTTTTCTTTTCAGACAAAAATCATTCACTCTTCTTTACTTCAGCTTATGATTTATCTAGTATTTCATACTCTTCATGTGTTAACTTTAGTTTTCATATAATTTGTTTTTGTGTTACTCATACTATTTTCTTTATCTTGTTCATTTACCTATTCCTATCTTAAATGAATATAAGTTCTGTCATAGATTTTATTAATTTATGTTTTTTTGGTAGCATCATTAGAACAAATATTTTTACATGGAAATATTTTATGCACTGAGAAAAATTTCATGAAATGTTTAGTTTTATATCCCCAGCTTAGGCACCATTAAAACTCAACTACTAAAAATAATTACTTCCAAACCCTTAAAACCTAATTCTCAGAGCTTTTTTTTTTTTTTTTTAATCTTTTTACAGAAAAGAAAGAAAAATCAAGCAAGCCTAAAGATCCACCTCCTTTTGAAGGGATGGAGGTAAGACTGTATGAATTCTGTTCTGGTAAACAAAAGACTGCAGATATCATCTTTACCTTCAGTAACACACATGGCCATCCATGTTGGTCAGATGTGGATTTTAAATGATTCAGTTTAGAGATATCCGAAAAAGCCAAAAACCAATTGATAAAAACCAAAAATTAAAACATAATTTTAATTTTATTAAAATAAGTGGAAAAAATGTTGTGAACATTTTTAATTAAGTTTCAAAATATTTAATCTTTTATAGTAGGTTCAAAGAACTTTGTGTTACATTTACACAAAGTTACATCCAGAGACAAATTTTAGAGTTTATATATGTTTCATTTGATTGTTCTTATAGTTTTGTATTAACATATAGCTTCATATGCAAAGGCCTAAAGTTTCTATCTACAAAAAGATGGCTATTGTCAGTTCTTTTGGTTACTATGGTAAGTAATCTGATCACAAGATTGTCATCCAGCTGACAGCGAGTGTGTCCATGAGAGCTGCTGAATGCTTCCCACCTCTGTTTCAGATTGACGAGGTGGCCAACATCAATGACATGGACGAGTACATTGAACTATTGTATGAAGATATTCCAGACAAGGTTCGGGGTTCTGCCTTGATCCTGCAGCTGGCTCGAAATCCCGATAACTTGGAAGAGCTACTGCTAAACGGTGATTTCTCTTTCTAAATATTAAAAACAGAAAAATCATATAAAACAAGCCTACCCTTAAATTTTGTACTCAGATCTTAAATATTTTATGTATGGAAATGCACATATATATGTTCTCATGTCGAAAATGTTTAGTTCCGAATTTTAATTCTTTTTTTTTTCTATGTATTAGGAATATTTTCAATCTATTACTTATCTTCCACTATTTCCACTCTTATTTCACCGTGCTTTTTTTTTAATTTCACGTGTGTTTTTGAATTTCATGAGTTTCTCTTGAAACCAGCATAGTGTGGGATCACAATAGGTTCTTTATAATTGGTGTGTTTAGTCTGGTCAATATTGATGTTAGCTCAGAAGGTAGGTTTTGCCATTTTGTGTTTGCTATGAATGACAAGACTTTTAACATATTTATATATTTTTAAATTATGAACATTTTTATCATGATTCTTAACCTCTTTTCTATTCCTGCTTTCTTATATTATTGTTTTCTTCTATACTAGGTGTTTTCCAGTTTATTATTTTAAGCTAATTTTCTATAATTATTTTTTTCTGAGTTATCTTAGTGATTCTCTGACATTACAATTGACAGTTTCAAACATTCTCATTCAAATTACTACCAACTTAATTTTAATAGTATACAGAATTTCATTCCAATACACCTATTTACTCTTTTCACTCCTCACTCCTTTTACTAACGTATTACTAATGACATATTTTTTACATATGTATGTGTGGGATATATGCATATCTATATGCATATTCACTAGTGCATGAGCACATATGTTCATATAAATAACATCCTCATGGGTGTGTAGAGGCCCAAGGCTGATACCAAGAGTCTTGACTAATCACTTCTGCCTTATTATTTGTCTACCAGTTGAAACCAAAGCTTGAGGAGATGGTCAGTCCAGCTAGTCAGCTTGTCCCAGTGATTTACCTTCTGAGCTCAGGAGTTACAGGCCTGGGGACTTTGCAGGGACCAATGCAGAAAGTGATCCGCGAAGAAGTGAGAGTGGAAACTCAGTCCAAACTGGCTTCATCAACCCGGATCAAACCTGGGGAGTCAGAAGTTCGTTGTCAGCATATTTAAAACACAGTACAATTTAGGAAAAAGTTTCCAGACAACACTCCCTCCCATTCCAAGTGCCCCATAAAGCTTAAGATGTAACTCCATAGAAACTCCTTTACTAAGTACATGTGACCAGGAGGATAGGTTCTATAGCTGAACGGCCTAGAATCGTGTGTGGTCTCTGAAATAGCGTAGAGGTCAGCAATACATGTGACATCTCCTTTAAGAATGGGTTCCATTAACTGGGAGACAAAGATTATGGTGTAGGGAGGGAAGAGTCTGGGGTAAACATTCTGGGGGAGATCTGTCTCTACAGATAGCCAGAAAGTCATCAGGTCCTTACAACATCCACCTCCGCCTTTCTGGGTGGAAAACAGATAGTACCTCCTCTGAGGAGAGGCCCCTGTATATTTAGCATTCCTGGATCCCTGGTGTTCTGTGAATGCAAGGACCTTTGTGCCCCCAACAGATAACAGGAATTCTTTTGTACTTTCTATGTGTCATTCTTCCTTGTGCATACCTCTGTGTGTTTTAATGTAAATCTGCTTATCAGCTTGTTGATGACCCTATGTAAACACAAAATTGCTCTTTTCTTTGAGCTTTCGGTTCTCTTGGCCTCTATTTTCTCAAGTCTGACCGTGACCATGACATGTTTAAGTGCTGATATCATTCAGTATGGCATACCTTTTTGATCTTCAGCAAACATGTAGTTTTTAGCTGTTATTTAATTAAATATTCACTTTGACCCTTTATATGTTTCTGGAACTTCCATCATGTATATGTTACTCTGTTTTGTTTGCCATACATCTTTGAGGGTCTGCTTATTTTGGCTTCCTTCTCTTTTCTTTAGACTGACTAATCTAAAATGTTTATATTAACTTTTTCTGTGTCATGTCTGCTGCTAAGAGTACCAGTGAATTTTTATTTTAGCTTTTGTACCCTTCAAGTACAGAGATCCTGTTTTTGTCTGTTCTATAGTTTGTGTCCTCTTGGTAAAACATTCTCATTCCTTGCATACGTACCTTTAAGTCTATAGAAACGATTTGCTTTAATTTCTATGTTCATGCATCTGTGTATGTGTCTGTGTATTTGAATGTGTGTACAGGTGTGCAGGTGTGAGTTTGGAGACCAGAAGAGGGTACCAGGTATCTCCCTCTTATCAACGCCAACCGATTCTTTGAGGCAAGGTCTCTACTTGAATGTGGGACACAGGTTTTCACAGGCTAAATTCCAGCAAACTTCAGGGATGCACCTGGTTTGTTTTTTTTTTTCTCCTTGGAGCTGTGCTTGAAGGTGTGTGAGCTGCCTGGTGGCTTGCTTGGGTGCTAGAATCTGAATTGTGATCCTCACGATTGCCAACCTGCCTCTCCAGCCCTTCCTTTAATTTTATGAATATAGTAATAGCATACTTAAAGTCTTTGTCTCATAAACTCAGTGTCTATGCTTTTTCATGGGCAGTCTCTAGTGATGACTTTATTATCTGAGCATGGGTCATACAGTTCTGTTTCTTTCTGTACTGAGTTGTTTTGTTAAAACAATATGTGGTAGCTCTGGGAATTAGATTCTTACTACCCAAGCCTTTCTATTAGACATTGTTTGTTTGCTTACTGAGTTTTTAAGAATTAAGTCTGCAAAGTTGGTATCCCTTGTAGTGTCACTGAAATCTGTAATCAGTTAGCTTATTGGTCAGCAATGATTGGGCAAAGATTTTTATTAAATGCCTGATAATAAGGTCTTGCCTTGCTGAAGACCACTTTCTATGTTAGGGTGTGTCCTAGGTATTGAAGCATTTCACATGTAAGACTCTGCTTTCCTCCTTATACACTGTTTCAGATTCAGTGAGAATTGACAGATTAGCAGCTTTGTAGGCCTTTTTGTGGTAGGCATACAACTGTTTACCTGTGTGTGGCTTTATAGAATATATTTGACCCCTTTAAAGCTTCTGAAGGTACCTGTAAAAGGAGAGTTTTCCTCCCTTTCCCAAGCTCCAGGAATATTGACTCATGAGAGTCAGTTATTATTTTACACATACCTAGGCCATAAAGCTAGGCTCTTCTCTGAGTAGCTCATAACGTAATAACCCATTTATATTAATCTGCATCCTGCCATGTGGCTGGTTACCTGGGCTCAGGCACCATGCATCCATCTTCCTTATATCTTGCCTGCTGAATCTCTTGTGCCTGGTTGTATCCCAGAATGCTTTTTGCCTCCTGGATGTCCCGCCTCCTATTTCCCGCCTAAGCTATAGGCCATCAGATATATTATTAACAGGTGTTACATCAGTACAGTACACAAGATACTCCTTCTACTGCTTTGCTTTAAAATTTTTTAGTAGCCTTTTGTTTTTTTTCCTTTAATTAATTATTATTATTACAATTTATTCCCTTTGTATCCTGGCTGTAGCCCCTTCCTTCATCTCCTCCCAGTCCCACCCTCCTTTTCTCTTCTCTCCCTGTCCCCCTTCCCTAGTCCACTGATAGGGGAGGTCCTTCTCTCCTTCTGTCTGACCCTAGTCTAACAGGTCTCATCAGGATTGGATGCTTTGTTTTCCTTTGTGGCCTGGCAAGGCTGCACAACTCCCCCATTGGGAGGTGATCAAAGAGCCAGCCACTGATTTCATGTTGACATGAACCTAGGGAACCTACTTGGAGACTGAGCTGCTATAGACTACATCTGAGCAAGGATTATAGGCCTTCTCCATGCATGGTCCTTGGTTGGAGTATCGGTCTCAGAAAAGACCCCTGTGCCCAGATTTTTGGTTCTGTTGCTCTCCTTGTGGAGCTCCTGTCCCCACCAGGTCTTTCTGTCTCCCCCTTCTTTCATAAGATTCCCTGCACTCTGACCAAAGTTTTGCTGTGAGTCTCAGCCTCTGCTTCAGTATCCTGATCAGTAGAGTCTTTCAGAGGTCCTCTGTGGTAGGCTCCTGTCCTGTTCCCTGTTTTCTCCTACTTCCAATATCTACCCCATTTGCCCTTCTGAATGAGGACTGAGCATCTTCCTCCTCCTTGCTTAGCTTCTTTAGGAATTCAGATTTTAGTATGTTTATTCTTTGTTATATGTCTAATACCCAATTATAAGTGATAGACACAGAAATTGTGGTACATTTACATAATGGAATACTACTCAGCAATTAAAAACAAAGAAATCAGGAAATTTGCAGGTGAATTGCTGGAACTAATAGCCTTTTATTAATCCTGCTCTCAAACTGTTAAGCCTGTCTTAACAGTGCTCCAGGTCAAGTAAATGGTAACCGAACATTCTCTGCACCCTGCAAACCCAGCTTTAAACAAACATCTTTTTGTATGAAGTCTGAGGGAAACTTCAGACTCTGCCCTCCTCAGCTCTTGCCAGTCCTCCACAGTGAGACAAGAAGTTCACATGTGACAGCACTCTCTGTTCTTAATGAAATTTCAGCACTTTTGCTTCCACAAATGCTCTGTGACCAATGATAAACACAAATTAACTTAATTCTTCATTTTTAAATAAAAGCTAACCCTGCAATTTACTTTTAAGATAGTGTCTCCCTACATAGCTTAGGCTGACTATAAATTCAGATTAGTGGCATGTGCTGCTATACAGATAACAATTTTGACATTTTTTTTAACCAGTTTGCTTGTTCTTATAGGAAAGAGTGGATTGTTTGATGTTTTCAGTCTGCTGTCCTACAAGTTACTTTCCCCAGAATTCACTTGTGTGATGGATGTAATGATGTCAATTGATGTTTCTTTATGTTGTTCAGTCCTTCGTTCCCATTAGTCCATGATCAGAACATGACTTTACCTGGGTACCCAAATTTCTTTTGTTATTGATCCAGTGTGCCTACTATGTCTTCATGGAAAGACACTGTTTTTTTTCCAGGGACTTTCTCCTTGCCAGGTACACTTCCCACATGGCAGTGGCTATGCCATGTTTTCTTTCTGTTCCATTGCTCTAGTTGCTAAGGTCCATAAATAATACTGTTGGTTATTGTGTAGTTTTACTTGCTCTCACTAGAGCTACTTCCCCAGGCTGTGTTCTACATCTCTTTAGTTTTAGTGGTCAGTTTTTGCTTTTTCCCCTTTTTTTTAAGGAGGTGGGAGTGGGAGGAGAATTTTTGCTGTTTTTGTCTTGTAATAGGCTCTCATGTGGCACAGATTGGTCCTGAAAGCATGTGTGGCTAAGGCTAGCCTATCTCCTGGCTTCACATTCTGATGTACAGTTTAGTTCATTTATAAGATAAATGATGCAATTTGCCTTTCTATTTTCTTCAAAATTCACTTTGCTGGTCTTGTACTGAAAGTATGCTTAAGTTATAACAAAAGTCTGCTGTGGTACACTGAGAAATATGGTTTACTTTGACTTATATTTATCAGCAGCTTTTAGGATTTGATAGATGGGGAAAAGTGAAGCCAGATTCCCTACTAAGTAGGACCTTTTGGACATTTGAGTGTGTACTGCCCATTTGCTTATTTGATTTTTCAGTAACTTTGGCCAAAACTTTCATTAGTCCAATGACCTACTCTGTGATTGTGATATTCTACTGACAAATATTTCAAATATTTCTTAATTTGTTAAAAAAACAATCAGAGCTTTAATTACTAAATTGATTAATACTAATGTAGGTAATTCTTATTTCATAATCCGAATAACCAGAAAGCAAAATAGGCTGAACATTTTATAGCCATAATAAATATTGATAATGTAGTCTGTTAAGTACAGTGAGTGGACAGAGTTGTCTCCATGCATGTGTGAGGGCCTGTGTGGTCCTCACCATCAGATGACCACACCCACACAAATCCTTTGGGGGAGTGGCAGCCCACTTTTAATTCCAGTGCAGGCACATAATTCCCACAGCAAGATATCTGACTAGAATAGACGTTCAGAGAGCTCTGGATTTAACTGAGAGACTCTGCCTCAATAAATACGGTGGCAGACATTTGAGGATGACCCCCTAGTATCAGCCTCTGGCCTCTACGTGAGTGTGTGCACGCACATGTGTAAAACACACATGTACCACAAACACATACTTCTCCAAAAAATAAAAACTCTTGCAACAACCTATTTTTAACTGACCTCATATTCACTTAATCTCTCCAAATATTCACTTATCATTTACTTAACTGTGCCGCCTTTTAACAGGTACTTATATACTTCCGGGGAGTTGTTTTCTGAGACTTCTATTTTGTTTATGTCTGTTAGTATGTGAAATAGAAATATTTTTTTCACATAAATTTTTACTAATTTACCTTTATGGAGCTAAGTTGACTAAACTGCCCATTTATATTCTGGGTATATTCTATTCTTTGTCCTAATAGAACAAATTGGAGGTTAAAGAAGAAGGCAAAGTAGTACAGGAGTGAAATTCCAAGCAGAAACAAGTCAGGATGGATAGCCATAGGTGGTCTTACTGTCACATTTATCTAAGTCACATCTGATTTCTTTGCTGCATACAAGTGTACATCAGGTGTTTTGAGTAAAAGTTACACTTCTAAATTAGCTTTCTGTATTGGAAAGAAACATCCTACTTTTTTGTCCCAGTTCCATCTTGATTTTGTTACTTATTCATAAGTAGACATTTAAAACCAAGCTCCCTTTATATCAAAGGCAAGGTAAAGGATCATATCCGTATGTCTCCTTTTATTTTAGAAACTGCCCTGGGTGCACTAGCAAGAGTCCTGAGAGAAGACTGGAAACAAAGTGTTGAGTTAGCTACAAACATCATTTATATCTTCTTTTGCTTTTCTAGGTAAGTATAGATTCTAAAATGACTAATAGACCTCTGTTGCTGTCTGCCTGGGTTAGTGTGTAGACCATTGGTTCTTCCAGTCTTTGTGCGTTTGTCTGTGCTCTGCTTCTCATTCCTAGCTCTTTACTCTGTTTTGCTTTCATTCAGTCTACACTTCCTGTGCCTACACACATGCACACGCACATGCGCACACACTCACATACATCCCGGTTGGCACACTCTTTGGAGTGCGATTATGAAGGTGGTGATCTCTGTTTGAATGCAGTGTCTGCTGTGTACTCACCGTGTACTCTTGGTTATTTTACTTAACCTCTCTGAGCCTCAGCTCCTTCCTGTATAAAATTTTCATTGTAATAGCTATGTTTTCTTCAGGTAGATTTTAGGATTAAGTAATTCAGAATTCAAATACTTAGGATAAAAGCCTGGTCCAGAGTAAGTACTCTTGTAGTTATACACACATGACCAGGCAAATACAAGAATATTTATTATACACGTAGTTATGTATTTACATTTTTATCAACTTAATACATACTTAGAGGATACAGCATAACAGCTTGATTAAATGTAACAGTATATAAATAATTAAATTAGAGTGATTGGCATTTCAACTCTGAAATGACCATTTCTTTGTATTGGGCATGTTTGAATTCTTCTTTCCCAGTTCTTTCCAAAGTATATATAATTGTTGTGAATTGTAGTCACCATACTGGCTATAAAATTAGAATTTGTTCCTCCTATGCTACTGTATGTTGGTTTTGGTACCCATTATCCAACTTCCCTTTATTCTCCCTGATTTTAACCCTTCCTAACCTCTAGAAGTCTCTAGTCTACTCTCTTTATATGAAGTCAACTCTTTCCCTGTGCATGTCTGAACAAGGACATATGACGTTTGATTTTCCTTGTTTGGCTTATTTAACTTAATATATTTCCCTCTAGGTATATTCATGTTTCTAATAAATTATGAAATTTTATTCTCTTAATGGTTAAATATAGTTTATTTACATGTATATGTTCTTTTTTTTCTTTATTAATTACACTTTATTCACTTTGTATCCCCCCTGTGGTTCCCTCCCTCCACCCGTCTCAATCCCTCCATTTCTCCACCCTCTGGATGCATGCCTCTCCCCAAGTCCACTGATAGGGGAGGTCTTCTTCTCCTTCCTTCTGATCCTTGTCAATTAGGTCTCATCAGGAGTGGCTGCATTGTCTTCTTCTGTGGCCTGGTAATGCTGCTTTCCCCTCAGGGGGAGGTAATTAAAGAGCAGGACAATCAGTCCATGTCAGAGATAGTCCCTGTTGCTATTACAATGGAACCCACTTGGATACTGAACTGCCATGGGCTACATCTGTGCAGGGGTCTTAGGTCATCTCCATGCATGGTCCTTGGTTGGAGTATCAGTCTCAGGAAAGACCCCTGTGCTCAGATTTTTTGGTTCTGTTGCTCTTTTTGTGGAGTTCCTGTCCTCTCCAGATCTTACTGTTTCCCACTTCTTTCCTAAGATTCCCTGCACTCTGCCCAAAGGTTGCCCATAAGTCTCAGCATCTGCATTGATAGTCTGCAGGGCAGAGCCTTTCAGAGGTCTTCTGTGTCAGGCTCCTGACTTGTTCCCTCTTTTCTCCTTCTGATGTCCAGCCTCTTTGCCTTTCTGGATAGGAATTGAGCATTTTAGCAAGAGTCCTCCCTCTTGATTAGTTTCTTTAGGTGTACAGATTTTAGTAGGTTTATCCTATATTATATGTCTATGTTCTTAATAATAATATTATTGAGATTTTATGAAAAATTTCTAGCCAATTAGATCTTAAAAATAAACCAATATCAGCAAAGAAATTTTATTGAATAAATATTTGAATAAATTATATAGCAAATATGTATATAATAAATAAAATGAGTACCTAGTATAATCATAGTGTTAGTTTTGTTAGACAATATTTCAGAATGTATTCTGAAACTATTTTAGTAGTTAATTTGGTGATTAATTACAAAAACTTGCATATTAATGTTATTTAAGGCAAGGGTAGCATTTTAACACATATGTAATCTTGTAATTTCAAGGTTTTATTTAAATTTAATTTTTTAAATTTATTTAAAAATTTATTATGCTGTCATTATATTCATTCATTGAAACGTGTGTCAGACTTACATTTTGTGTGGTTTATGGTAGTATGGGCCAAAACCAAAATTTATTTATAAACAAATGTACTCTTCTTTAATGTTTATTAAAAATTTTTCTTTAAAGCTTTTCTCATTTTCATGGACTCATCACTCATTATAAAATCGGAGCACTGTGTATGAATATCATTGATCATGAGTTAAAAAGACATGAGCTTTGGCAAGAAGAACTTTCTAAGAAGAAGAAAGCTGATATCCTTTCAGTGCCGTTTTGACCTGCTGCCTATGCTTAGTGCTTGGGATGGATAGGGTGCGTTTGTTCTTTCTTTTTTTTTTTTTTTTAATTCCTGTCATATTATTTGGAAATCGTGCAAGAATGTGTTGAAGGTAAAGACAGAGATTTTTAGAATTATTGGAATTATTAGAATAAATACAGTTTGACATAGACTTTTTGTCTGTTCCCCTTTGACCAGTTGGTGAGGTAGAGGAATGAAGCCAGCAGCAGTGGTGGCTAACTGAGTAAGAGTCCTCAAGTAACTGCACTGTATGTCCACTGTGAGCATGTGTGGTGAAGCATGGCTCGCACTGCTGCTTATACTTTTCCAAGCAAACTAACTTACACTCTGACTTCTCTATGAAGTTCAGTTTTTATAGTTAGGTGAAAAAATATTATTGTTAATACACATTTGAGAGATGTATAGAATGATAGAACCCGTGAGCGGAACCTTAGAAATTCTCTATTTAAGCATATCTTATGGTCTAAGAATTGTTTTGGGGGGTTCTTTAATGAACCCCTGAGCTTTCAAACACTGCCCATTGGCTTAAGGCATTTTGGGAGGATTGGTATTCTATTTAGTTTAGTGTTCCTTTGCTTTTTGAGCTATAGTCTACATTCAGATAACTTCTATCTCTTGATCTTAGTCTTTTATACTCAAGATATTCTCTTGAGCATGAAGTAATCTCATTTGAAGGTATTTATCATAGATAGTCTAGCTCAAAGATCCTTGACTCTTCATACCTATCTGAACATGAGATATTTCACAGATCAGTAAGCCGTTGTAGGCAATAGCATTGTTTGAATACAATGTTTATTTGTACCTTTTGGAAATGAAAACATCGTTTGTGTAGGAAAAATGAGAAAGAGAGGCAGACAGATTTAATCATAACTGGATGAGACTGATTTATTGGAACAGTGAGGGACCACAACTTTTCTTCAGGATGAAGACTGATTGCATTTAGAAGGGCTGAGGTCAGGTAGCTACCAGGAAGTTACAGGTACTTTTATTTTATTTTATTTTATTTTATTTTATTTTATTTTATTTTATTTTATTTTATTTTAGTGTGTGTGTGTGTGTGTGTGTATGTGGTTTGAATGGGAGCGGGGTAGGTAGTTTTTCATACCTAGGTATTGTCAGACTAGGACTAAGCTATTCTTTATAGCTAGGGGCTATTGCCCAGGAGCCTGACTTAATTGCTCTTGACCTGAGGCTATTACCCATTAAGTCCTGTTTGGGCAAGTGTGGTGCATTTCTTAACTCAGCTTTGTGGAACTATCAGGCCTTATTCTTTAGAATGTCCTTCCCCTGGTGTCTCTAACCTGAGCAAGTTGCTAAAAAGCTTTAGGTTAAATCTGCATATTTGAATATTTGAGAGTCTGCCTTAAACAGAGTCTATTAGTAGGTAACTACATCAGTTTCTGTAAGAAAGTACCTTTTGAATGGACCCACTTATAGTCTGTTGAAAGTTGCAGACTTGTCAACTTTCATATGATATTTGCATGTAAATTACTGAGAATCCAAGTATTTGGTAAAGTTCAAACATTTCTCATGCTAGGACTCCAAGGGAATTATGAGAGCTTTGGCTAACTTGTCCTGTTGTGCACAGTCTTGCAGCTAAGATTTTAGTTGATCTGTTGGAAGAGGAATGTAACTAAAGTTTCGGGCAGGCTTGGTAATGTATGCCTTTAACATAAGTACTCCAGGGGCAAAGGTAGATGGGTCTCTATGAATCTGAGGCCAGTTTAGTCTATATAATAAATGCCAGGTCAGCCAGAGCCACATAATGAAATGTGTCTAATAAATAATAATAATAATTTGCATATAAAACATAATAGCACTGTTCTCAAAGTAGTCTTCGTGCGTTCTCTTCACTTCCATTCATGCTTGTGATCCTTAACTTGGCTTTTACTTGATGAAGACCTTGAAAATCAAACCTTGAGAAAGGATTATGACAAAACCTTTAAAAAGTACCAGGGACTTGTGGTAAAACAAGAACAGCTGTTGAGAGGTATGAGCTCCTGAGCACTTCCTGAAACCTGACACTAGAAGAACTGATGTAAAATTTTAAAATATTTTTCATTTAATAAAGAATAAATTTTGTTTCTAAGATGTGTTGGTGTCACTTAAGATGCAAAGTCTTAAGATTTAGTCGAATGATAATAGACTTTGAGTATTAGAGTACTGGCTATAGTCAACTGTGAATTTTAGTTTAGTTCATTACTTATTTGATGAACTTTATACATGGAAAATGTTTGTACATGGATATTTTTTTATTCCCTGATAGTTCTTAGCTTTTCTAACTACACTGAATTTTTCAAGTTTTCCTATTGTTCTGTTTTGTTTGACATTGCTAAGGACAGAACCCAGGACTGCACTGCTAGGCAGGCATCCTACTGCTGAACTGTCTTCTCCAGCCTGGCGTAAAGATTGAAATCGAGCAGTTAAGTTCAGCCTATTGGAGAAGAAGCTAGCCACCTTTTCAATGTTCAGTGTTTAAAGATCCTAGAATATAGTAACTTTTACCTGGGTCAGCATATAAACCACAGTATATTAGGTTTTTAAAAATAATTGTTTTGTTAGAATTTTAAAACACTAAGTTGATTTTTGAACATGTAAAATATTAAGTTCTATTCATAACCAAAATATTTATGCAAATATTTTATGTTCTGTTTAAACAGTCTTATTGAGACATAATTGGTAGGTAATAAACTGTATGCTATTAAAATTCACTTGTTAAGTTTTAATTTATACAAATAATTACTGGATGGTGATCACATTCAGGTAGACATGTTTATCTCTACCCTAGCTGCCTTGTATATGTATTGTCTGTTCTTCGTTTTTCCTTCCCCTCCTTCTCTAGTAGTTTACTGGTATAAGTGGAATTATACAGTATCTTGTTTGGTCAGTATAATACATCATGTTGTTGTATTTATCAGTATTTTTCCCTTTTAATTATCCATTGATAATCCTCTGTATTCTCTTGTTTATAGTCATTTGGAATCTTTCCAGTTTTGGGCATTTGCTGTCCTCCTTTGAACAGTCATCTGTAGGCCTTGTAGCAAGCAATGTTTAGCTTCACAGAAGACTACTACTACACAGACATGGTCTTCCTGCAGTCCCTCTACCTAATGCTCCCACCATTAGTGTATAAAAGTCTGACATTATTTTACCAAAAAAAAGACTGATAGTCTCAGTATCTGTTTTGAACTGTTGCTGGGTCGAGCCTCTCAGAGGACAACTCTGGTAGCTCCTGTCTGCAAGCACATCAGAGTATCCTTAATAGTGATAGGGGCTGGCTTTCTTCCATGGGTGGGTCTTAGGGTTGGCCCACATTGGTTGGACATTCCCTCAATCTCTGCTCTATCTATTCTATCTTTGTCCCTGCAGGTCTTGTAGGTAGGATAGGCTTCACGTGGACCCACTAGTTAGGGGAGTGTGGGATATTACTGACATGGACTATGTTGCCTGCTTTTTTATCACTTCCCCCTGATGGGATTCCTCTACCAAGCCACAGGGGAGGAAGATGAACTCAGTCCTCAGTTCTCATGTGACTAGATGAGGGGGGGATGCTGAGTAGAGGGGGTCCTGTATTCTGAATAATAGGGGAGGGGAGATGCAGGAGGGAGGGTGGGACTGGAGGAGAGGAGAAAGGGGCCTATGACCAAGATGTAAATTGAATTAATAAAATTTTAACAAAAAGGCTGATAGGAGCTGGGTGGTGGTACACACCTTAAATCCCAGCATTTGGGAGGCAGGCAGGGATATACAGAGAAACCCTGTCTTAGAGAGAGAGGTCAGGGGGGAGGGGAGAGAGAGAAGACTTTTGTTCTGTTCCTAACCTCAGTTGGATCCTAAATATACATGTGCCAACTGTCCTGCACTCCTTACTCAGCGGAGAGTTTATAGAGCTCCAGAGTTCTCTTTGTATAGCTTCCCTTCTCCAGTGCTCTTTTCTGTTAATTTGGCTTCCATCAGGCCCTTCAGTTCATCCCCTTGCTTAGAGACTTGTTGGGCTCTGCCTGGCTTCTTTCTTGTGTGGTGATGTGGAAACTTTGCCTAGACAGCCTTCCAGGCAGTCACATGACTATTTCCTTTGTTTCTTACCTCTCAGAGATTACTATTCTTCGTTGTTTAATGTCTAGTATTGTGAAAACCTTAGTTGATTTTTTTTATTTGTTTCTATGACAGTTTAAAATGAATCCCCACTCTAATGAAGTTGTTCAAAGTGACTCTCTGAAAGCCATGGTAGTTATACTCTCACAGTTCTGAAGGCTAGCAGGCCAAAGTCACGGGGGTAGCAAGACCGTGTTTCTTCTGTTGGTTCTAGAGGGAGTGGCTACTTCTATATCAGTTTGCTATCTCTCAGCTGTCTAATACGTCCTGTTTGCTGCAAATCACTCCAGTGTCCGCTTCCATCTTCAGCTGGGCCTTCAAATTACTGGAGTAACACTCTCCCCTAATTCATCATCACATCATCTTACTTTGCAACTGCAGTAAAAAGTCTGTATTTAAAATAAAACCCAGTGCCAGAGTCCTGTTAAATTTTAGGCTGGTGCTCCTCAACCCTACATCTGCTTTGGCAGAGGCTTCTAAACGCTTCCAACATAACCTCAAAGTCTTCCTGCATTATCTTGCATGGAAGTTCAGCTGATAGAGCAGCAGAAGTGACTTAGCTTGAGACCCTGCTGGGATTGTGTTTTCATTCAGTTCTGCTGCCTCCTACCTGTGTGGAAAGGGCAGGTTACTTCAGTTATGTGCATCTAGCTTTCCTGTCTATAAAATGTTTATGCAAAAAAATGTTTGTTTATGCTACATTGCTTATGTTTTAGAATTAAGTTATTTTTGTTGAGTAGCATAATAGCTGTCATACACTCAAGTATAATTTGGCTTTCTATTGCAAATATTCACTAAGTAGATATTTATCAGCTTGTATTAATATAAGTATACAGACACATTTGCTTATATTTCCATCTTCTTTGCATTAAGGTTTTAAGGTGGAGGATAATGTTAAAAGAGGGCTAGGGAAGTGATGCATGCCATGACTCTAATATTGGGAAAGCTTAGATGGGAATATCACAAGTTTAGAGTCAGCCTGGGCTGATAGTGAACTTCTGTCTAAACAGACGAAATCATTAAATAAAATGCCAGAATGAGTAACATCAAGACATTAAAGAGCAAAAATGATTATAGTCATTAATAACCTACATAATTTTGACAGGGCAAGATTTTTTTAAGCCACACTGTGAAAATTCCTGTCAAATCAAAATGAAAACTATAACTTAGCATACAATTCTCACTTGCAGGAAAGAAGAGTCTTGGTTTCTGTGGGGAACCAGGGGCTTTATTACAGGCATCAAAAGGAAATTGTATTTAGAACTGGTAGAGCCTGCCCTTGGTCCATCTGGTATAACAGTTGAGCTTGTCAACTCTTGTAGCGACTAACTGAAAATGGACTCAAATGTGAGAAATAGATGCTTTTGTATCCTCCATGTCTCAAGTCATCCCTAGGGTAGCATGTCTCACAGCAGCCACTGGAGGTTAAAATTTTGTGAGATGATATCTTTCCTTACTTTTTTGTATTTATAAAATTATTTCCCCTGTTTATTATTTGGTGACTTCTATACCATTAATTGCCATTTAATTACTGTTAAACTCTACGTTCCTGGAGAATGGGAACCATTATATGTAGTTTTATGGTCTCAGCTTCATAAGCATATAGTGTTCATAGAGCACATGTGACATGGAAGAAAAAATGAGGCTAATGGGGAAGGAGAAGCACAAATGGGCTTGGGGATGGAGCAGAGGGAGGAAGATCAACAAAAACAAAAGACATTTTAAAATGCACAGTGAAGTTTAGTATATTGTGAGCTAATTAAAAGGTAATAAAATAGAGCATCTAAGGAATATGATTTTAGGTGTTGTATTATGTAATATCTGTAGCTCATTTGATAAAGCTTAATGTCTTAATTTTGTTAAAATTTTTAACATAAAAATAGAACCTTCTAAGAACTATGTCCATGATCTTGGTAAATAGAACTCATTTTAATTACTGATTCAATATGTCATCCATTCAACTCTCATGTGTTTTTATTTCCTAGTTGCTCTCTATTTGCTTCTGAATCTTGCTGAGGACACACGTACAGAACTGAAGATGAGGAACAAGAATATAGTTCACATGTTGGTGAAGGCTCTTGATCGCGACAATTTTGAGCTACTCATTCTCGTTGTGTCATTCTTGAAGAAACTCAGCATTTTCATGGAGAATAAAAATGACATGGTAATGTACAAAGCTCCTTCAGATAGTCCACATTAGCCATTTTAAAGTTAAGCTATTCAGATAAAAGAAGTATTTTCTACTGCTACTAAGATAATTATGAATAAATTATAATAACTGTAATGCTTCATTTGGAAATACAGGCAATATCATTACTATTCTAGGTAATTGAAGCTTTCTAAGTAAAAGTATTTTTTAATATATCATAGAATAGATATACCTAATATCTTTTTTAAAAATAGCACAAACTTTCAGGTTCATTTGGTGTTACTTACACTGTGTACCTCTTGTGTTTCTGATTTTAGTGTATTCACTAAATGCTTTTAATTAAGTATGATCATCATGAAATGGTTAATCTATCAGAAAGTTAAAGTTACCAACATTAATATTACATTTACATTTAATTTCCAGTGATATCGTAGACTCAAAAGATAGAAAAAACTCATTAAACATTGTTTTTATTGGAGAAGAAAAAAGAATGAAGCTCAGCAAAGTTAATTACTCATCCAAGGTTATGAGAAGTCAGATATTTCCTTTAGACATTTGCGCTTCAGTTTTACAGGGAGAAATGTGCTTATATGTGACAGGATCCTAAGGACTTAGTACCTTCAGAATTCTGCTAGATATACATGCATGACACATTTAATCACTCTGGTTCCCTGATTTTACCCGGAGATAGCAAAGTCTCACAGACACTAAGTACTGCCCTCAAACGTATCTCTAAACTCAGGTTCATACTTTTTTTTATTTTTATTTTATTTTATTTTTTTTGCCTCCTGAAGGGAAGAAATTAAGATTTATTTTTATTGCTGTTGTTTAGTGGGTAGGGTTTTTATTTGTTCTGTTGGTTTTGGGGGCTTTTGAGACACGGTGTCATTTAGCCCAGGATGTCCTCAATCTTATATAGCAAGATTGGTCTTGAGTTACTTATCTTCTGCCTCCACCTCCCAAGTGCTGGGATTACATGTGGCAATCCTTAATCCCATTATTTTCTTATTGTGGTTTTCAAACAAGACTAACAGCAATTTTTGTAATGATTTTTTTGAGACTTTCATGTCTTTATATGGTGTTTTGATAAGATGTATCCCACCTTCACTCCCCTCCAATTTCCAACACTCTACCACACCCAAATTTCCTTCCCAACTTCATGAACTCTTCTTCTTTTTTTTTTTTTTTAAACTCACTGAGTTCCCCTAGTGCTTCCTGTATGTTCAAGATATAGGATGATATATCGGAACATGGGCAGCCTCTCAGGGCTACATCCCCTAAGAAAGTTGAATTTCCCTCCCCCAGCAGCCATCAAATGCCAATAGCTTCTCAGCTAGGGATGGGACTAACATTAATCTCAACCATTTCCATGTATATTTTAAGATAAATTTATATATTCCTCGTCTATTTTAAGGTTAATTTAATTTCACATCAATCATTTAATTCATGCTTTAAATTGTACAATGGTTATTATGGAACAAAGATACAATATTTTAACCTGGCACCTTTTTAAGTAGTATAAGACTGAGTCATGTTAGCATGATTTTAAGAGCAACAGTAGAAAAAAATGTACATTGTATAGGTTTACTTATTGTTTTTGCTAATGACTTAATTTTATATATAACATGCAAAGCTTTTTATCAGTTATGTGTTTTTCATGTATTTTATTCTTTTCTGTAACTTATCTTTTTTATTCTCCCATAAAGAGTGAAGTTTTCAATTTTGATGAAGTCTAGTATATAAAAAACGCTTTTAATGGGTTATGGTTTGATATTGCATTAAAGCATTCTTCATTTAACTCACAAAAGCATTCTTCGAGAAATTTTGTAGGGTTTTGCTGTTGTTTTAGACTGGTTATTTTATTTGAGTTAAGTTAGAATATGGTATGAAGTATAGATCAAGACGTGCTTTTTGGGTTAAGAACACATCCATTTCCAGCATTCATATGGAGAAGCTCATAACCACTTGATGTTCCAAACCCAGGGGATCAACATCCTTTATGGACATCTGCATGCATTTTGTGTTCCTACAGATAAGCAGGCAGGCACTCACATACACATAAAATAAAAATCTTTAAAAGAAGATTTGAAAAGGTTTGCTTATGATATTGTCAACTATGGTCTTGTTTCAGATCTGCTGTTAAAAGATTTTTTTATTGTCTTTCAGTGTTATTGAAGTTGCCTTTTTGTCATATTGAAAGGCAATTATCTGTATGTCTGTGGTTCTGTTTCTTGATGTTGCCTTCTGGTCTATTAATTTATATTTATTTCCTTGACTGGAGGGATATATTGTTATTAAGGCAGAAGTTGACATGAGTTGCACTACAGCAACTTAAAGGGTTTAAAATGGATTTGTTGTTTTGAACTTTGAGTGTGAAAACAACAAACACACAATAAGTGTTTAATAAGCCTTTCCCTTACCGTGTAGAAAAAAGTGAACAGAATAATGGAATTGAAGAAATGTTTATCTATAGTTAACACATCTAATAAAAAGACCATTTGAGCAGTATCTGGATAATTCATTTTAATCCAGTGATTACAATACGGAAGCAAAAATAGTTTTAAAAGACTAAGCTATGCCTCCAAAGCACTTTAATCTTGATAATCTGCTTCATGCTGTGTTCACTTTTAAAATGTCTTAAAGAAATTTTGTTTGCAGACTGAATGCTTACTAGTTTTGAAACTAGCCAAATATGTCTACAGGCATTTTTCATCATAAGAAAAAGCCACTTTAAAAAACAACAGCAGCAACAGAATTCCTATATAGACTCAGCACACTGTTTTAACATATCACCTTAGCTGCTTTAATTATATCAAGGTATGAGGCCAGACCATTGGCCTATGGCACATCTGAAACTTGACCGGGGACTTACTGCAATACAGATAATATTGCTCAGTTAACATTCCAGCAAGTTTTTATAGCCGCCCCACTAAGCTGTGTTAGATCGTCTTTCTAAAGATTTCCCACTGCATTCCAGTGTGTGGCCTCTGTGCCTGAGTGTGTGCCTGTGTGACTTTCACTTACACCTTTCTTTTTCTTGATTATTGGAGCCTTGTAAGCTTTGAGGTCAGGCAGTGCAGAGTCTCCAATGTTATTCTTTTTCTAATTGTCCTAACTTTCTATATCATTTATATCTCTATGTTTATTTTACTGTCAGCCCCTAGTATGGGTCATGATCTTCATAAATCTTTCAGTTTTCTCTAAAACCTATGAACTTTTATAGGATCTCTCCTTTTAGACATGAGTTATTTTTCCAACCAGATTTTTCTGGTTGCTTCCTTAAAGTAATCTTCCATTACCAGATAAATAATTGCCAATTCTGTAACTTTGCACCATAGCTCAATGAGGCTTCATAACATCTAGAGAAGAAATCATATGCATATACAAATATATGATGTGTGTGTGTGAGTGAGTGAAAGAAACCTTAGGGAAGTCAAATTTTAATCTCATGTGTTGTGAAATAGTCTTTATTTGCTTTTTTAAGTTATTTAAAAATGTAATTGGCTAGACAGAAAAAAATCTTTCATTGGTTGTGTTAAACAGACAGTGGGCCACATTAGTTCCAGTAGACATAATATGTTGATCCTAAATCTAAAATTTTAGCCATTTTTTTAAAGCCCAGGGTCTCCCAATTTTGATAAGATTTCAAAATATCATCTTGAATTAAACATAAAAAATTTGATGTTTTAGCTTCAGTGTCCCAGACTTGTATTTGCATTTACTACTCTTAGTTAATAGCATAGACAGTTACCTTATTAAACATGTAGATAGAGATAAAGGGCCTGAGGCCTCTTTTCTTAAGACCTTATTACAACACTGGTCTGATACTTTGGATTTCAGGGGGTTGCAGGCCAACCCTACTCTGACCTATCACCACTTGGACTTAAAATTGCAAAGAAAAGTCTGCGATGTATAAGGCAGTGTTGACTTCCTTAGCCGAACCTTAAATACCTCCACAGTCTGCCTATTGTCTGTCTGTAAGCTTCTGCTAATCTCTTTCTATATTCTGTGGACATAATGCCTTTCTACTGTCTTCTTTTGTTGTGTACTGCCAGTGCTTTTAAACCAGAAACAAATCCATATTAACTAAGACTTGTTCTGAATTTGAAGTCTTCTCTTCTTGATGTGTTAATGACTTCTTCTGTGGTACTTCCAGAACACTTCTGTTCATCACTTTGTTTGTTGTTTATTACATTGTATTTCTATTACTTGTTCTATCTGTCCACTCTTTTCAGACAGGAAATCTTGAAAGCCAAATGAAACTGTCTTTGTTCTTGTAGGAGGCCTGAAATGTAATGGGTAGAATTCAATTATGCAGCGTTTTCAAGGATCAAATTCAGTTTGTTTTCCAGGTGATGGCAGCTAAATGAGGGAAGGGAATGGATAATGTAAGAGTGTATGTTTCCTCCTCAAAAGTTTGATTTCAATATAAAAAAGTTCGATTTATAGGTTGAATTGAGAATGTAAGCTAATACATACTTATGAAATAGTTATACATTCAAATAAAAACAGATTATGTTGTATCCTTTTATATCTTATTTTGCAATCTAATGTAAATATATTTTATCTTTTACTGTAGGTAGAAATGGATATTGTTGAAAAGCTGGTAAAAATGATACCCTGTGAACATGAAGATCTCCTGAATATCACCCTCCGGCTTTTATTAAACCTCTCATTTGACACAGGCCTGAGGAACAAGATGGTCCAAGTTGGGCTTCTCCCAAAGCTCACCGCACTCCTTGGTATGCTTTAACATTGATGATGCTGTTTCATGACATTTGCAGCATCATTGGAAAGTCAAACTTTGTGTAGGCAAAACTCAACCATTATAACTTCTTCTAACTGGAAATTGAAGAGTAAAAAAATAAGCAGATTGCTTTGGGTAACATGGATATTTATCAGTATTTATTTTTCCATTTCATAAACATAGGATGAATTTTCTGTGTGTGTGTTCTTCAATTTCATTCATGAATACTTAACAGATATCATGAAGATTTTTTACTTTGGTTAAACTTCATTATCAGGCATCTTTTTACCTTTTCAAAATAAGATCACATCATTCATGTTTATAATTTTTTATTATTCATTATTTGTATATGGGAGTCCTACTAACTTGTTTATGTTCATTTTGTATATTGAAATTTTACTAAATTTTAAAAATTAATTTAAAAAGCATAGAATGTTGAAAGTTTTCTTACATATGTGATCATAACTTGCAAATGATTACAATTTAGGAGAAAAATCTAGCTGTTTTCTATTCAGTATATTTTCTCTGGGCTTGGTGTTTATGGCACATATTTTACTAAGTTTTCTTTCATAAAAGGATATTTTATTCTATTAAACATTTTGGTTTGGTTTGGTTTTTGTCTAATGAGACGAGTAGATTTTTTATTCTATTTATGTGGTATATCATGTTTTGATTTATGAGCATTGAACCATCCTTGAATTTTTGACATGAGTTATCACTTAATGGTGAATGTTTTTTTTTGTGTGTGTGTGCTAAGGGATATTATTTGGTAGTAAGTATTATTATCTGTGTTCATTAGGATTATTAACCAGTAACTTGTTGTTGTTGTTTTAATGTGTATTTATCAAATTTTCAACTCAAGGTAGCATTGACTTCCATTTTCATTATATTTGTTTTTTTGTTTCATTTTGTATTACTTCTCTAATGTTAGGTCTCTAAATATTTGGTAATCCTCAGTAGTTGAAGCCATTTGGTCCTGGGCTGTTTTGATGGGAGAACATTCTTTATTACTGATTCGTTCTAATTACTAGTCTGTTCAGATTGTCTGTCTTGATAATTTAATTTGGATAAGGCATACAAGTTCAAAAATTTGTCCATTTCTTTTGAGTTATCAAATTTGTTGTAGTTCATAAAAATGTAACAATTCTTTGTATTTCTGTATTGTAGTTATAGTTACTCCTCTTTTGTCTTTAATCAGTTTAAACCTTTTCTCTATTTCTTCTGGTTTTCCTAGGTTGTATAAATTTTGTTTTTCTTTTCATAAAACCTACTTTTAATTGTGTTAATCCTTTATGCTTTTTAAATCATTATTTTATTTATTTCTGCTGCAAAGATCTCTTTATATATTGGTTGATTTGGTCCAGTCTTTAGTCCTGGGGTGCAATGATAGGTTGAGATTTTCTGATACTTTTTTATTATAATTTATTCACTTTGTATCCCAGCTGTAGCCCCCTCCCTCATTCCCTCCCAATCCCACCTTCCCTCCCTCTTCTCCCATGCCCTTCCCCTAGTCCACTGATAGGGGAGGTCCTCCTCCCCTTCCATCTGACCATCCTAGCCTATCAGGTCTCATCAGGCCTGGCTGCATTGTCTTCCTCTGTGACCTGGTAAGGCTGCTCCCCCATCAGGGGGAGGTTATCAAAGAATAGCCACTGAGTTCATGTCAGAGACAGCTTCTGTTCCCCTTACTAAGGAATCCGTCATGGAGACTGAGCTGCCATAGGCTACATCTGTGCAGGGGTTCTAGGTTATCTCCATACATGGTCCTTGGTTGGAGTACCAGTCTCAGAAAAGACCCCTGGGCCCATATATTTTAGTATCATTACTCTCCTTGTGGGGCTTCTGTTCCCACCAGATCTTTTTTATCTCCCCCTTCTTTCAAAAGATTCCCTACACTCTGACCAAAGTTTGGCTATGAGTCTCAGCATCTGCTTTAATACCCTGCTGGGTAGAGTCTTTCAGAGGCTCTCTGTGGTAGTCTTCTGTCCTGTTCCCTGTTTTCTCCCTTTTCTGCTGTCTGTCCCATTTGCCTTTCTGAATGAGGATTGATCGTCTTACCCAGGGTCGTCCCCCTTGCTTAGCTTCTTTAGGTGTACAGATTTTATTGTGATTATCTTATAGTATAGGTCTAATATCCACTTACAAGTAATTAGATACCATATGTGTCTTTCTGCTTCTGGGATACCTCACTCAGGATGATCTTTTCTAGTTCCCACCATTTGCCTGCAAATTTCATGAGTTCCTTGTTTTCAATTGCTGAGTGTATTCCATCATGTAAATGTACCACAATTTCTGTATCCATTCCTCAACTGAAGGACATCTGGGTAGTTTCCAGATTCTGGCTATTACAAATAAAGCTGCTACTAACATGATTGAGCAAATGTCCTTGTTGTATAGTCGAGCATATTTTGGAACTATGTCTAGGAGTGATATAGCTGGATCTTGAGGTAGCACTATTCCTAATTTTCTGAGAAAGTGTCAGATTGATTTCCAAAGTGGTTGTACAAGTTTGCATTCCCACCAGCAGTGGAGTAGGGTTCCCCTTTCTCCACATCCTCTCCAGCTTGTGTTGTCACTGGAGTTTTTGATCTGAGCCATTTTGATGGGTGTAAGGTAAAATCTCAGGGTCATTTTGATTTGCATTTCCCTGATGACTAAGGACATTGAACATTTAAGTGTTTCTCTGCCATTCAGTATTCCTCTATTAATAATTCTCTGTTTTGCTCTGTACCCCATTTTTTTATTGGATTATTTAGTTTGTTGCTGTTTAACTTCTTGAGTTCTTTGTATATTCTGGATATTAGTCCTTTGTTAGAGATAGGGTTGGTGAAGATCCTTTCCCAGAGTGTAGCAAAGCATTTTGATAGAGGTGTTGATTGCTATAAAAATCCCTTCTAGAACTGCTTTGCCACATCCCTTGGATTTTGGCATGTTGTTGCATCTTACAAAGTTCAAGAGATTGACCTGACTAGACAGGGGATGAGAAAAGACACATCCATACACACAGAAGAACTAGGATCAGGACATCTGTGTAATACCTGGGTGTGGGGTGTGGGTACTGGGTGCTGGACATTTTCTGAACACTCAAGACCACATGAAACCTTTGTCATCCCCCTGAGCTTCACTTACCGGGTAGAAGGCTTTGCCAATTTCCCATGAGTCTGAGGCTTTGGTTCAAGGCATGGCTGACTCATCTCAACAACATAAATCCACTCAGGGCTTCTTCCACAACAATGTGTTGTATTTTCATTTGCATTTGTTTTGAGAATCATTTTAAATTTCCCTCTGAATTTCTTCCTTGACTCATTAGTTGTTTCGATGTATATGTGAAATTGCTATGTATTTGTATGTTTTCTCTTGTTACTGATATCTAGTTTTATTACATTATGATTGGGTTAGATAGTGATATAATTTTAATTATTTTAATTTGTAAAGGCTTGTTTTGTGGCCTATCATATAATCTGTTGTGGAGCACTCCAGGTGTTGCTGAAAAATATATATATTCTGTAGCTCCTGGATGAGATGTTCTATAGATGCCTGTTGAGGGTCACAGGTTAACTCTTGCAATTTTATGTTGTTTTGTCTGTCTGTGTGAGCTATCATTCCGATGCGTCTGTCACCTTCCAGGGATTATGATTGCTTCTTTCAGTGTTGGAGGCACTTGTGGCTCTCATTGTTCTTCCTCTTTGTACACGTGATACCCTTATCATTATAGAATGACTTTCCATGTTTCTTTTTACTGCTTTTGATTAAAATGGCCTCCTTTGGAAAATCAGAGGAGAGGAGGAGATGAGCAGTAAGGAGAGGAACTAAGAGGAGAAGAGGGAAGGGAAACTGCAGTCAAGATGTAAAATTAAGTAAAAATTTAAAAAAAGGAAAAAATACAAATCCAGGAAACACGTATAAGCATGTGATACATGGAGAATGATGTAGGATTCTGGCAGCTGCTGGATTATGTTATGATATGGGTCATGGAGAATTTCAGATTTGGAACACATAAACTTGGGAATTATGTTACCAATTATAATTATAATACATTTTCAATTAAATGTTTCTTCCTTTAGTATAAAAAAGAAAAACAAACAGGCATCTGAAAATAATGATAAAATAAGATAAAAACAAAAGCAAAAAAAAAAAAATCCAAAATACCTCTTCTGTTGTAAATAGAATCTAATTGTGTAAAATATCCATTTCTTCCCATCATCAGAGGTATTCATCATATAATTGAACCTTTCCATTTTTATTGCATGTATTTTAGTGTGTACATATGTGTATGTACGCTCATGCATGTGTGGTAGGATGTGCACGTACATTCCACACTGTGCAAATGGTGGTCAGAAGACAACTTGTGGGTGTCGATGCTCCGTCCACTATGCAGGACAGAGAGTGAACTCAGGCCGTCAGATTTAGTGACAAGTGCCTTCACCCACTGATCCACCTTGCAAGCCTCAATTGGGCCTAAAATGTGTGTATATATACATATATATATACATATACATATATACATATATATGTATATGTATATATATCACGACTGGAGAGTTGGCTCAGCAATTTTGAGCACTCCTAGATCTTGCAAAGAACCTGGATTAGATTCCCAGACCCACAAAGTGGCTCACAGCCATCTGAAACTCCAGTCCCAATAGATCTGATGCCCTTTTCTGACCTCTGCAGACGCCAGGCATACATTTGAGTGCATATACATACATGCAGAAAAAGCTCTCCTACACATAAAATAAGAAATTTCATCGTCATTCTCTGGAGAATATAATTGGCTTAAATTTAATGTTATTATTCATGTCATGATTTCCTGTAGCCATAATATAACCTGTTTGGGTTTTTTCCCTTTTTTATGTTGATTTGGGGTTTTGGGTTGGTTTTTTTCTTTCTTTCTTTTTATAGTTCATTTCTTACCTTCAAATAAAACAGTATGCTTATATTCCAACCCTCCCTTCATTGTGAATTTTTTGTTGTCCCATTTTACCTCCTTTTACT